TATGGGGCTCTGGTTTATAAAGGGGTCTGGTTCGTAAAGGGCTCTGGTTTTTAACGGGCTCTGGCTTATAAAGGCCTCTGGTTTATAACAGGCTCTGATTTATAACCAGCTTTGGTTCATAACTGGCTCTGGTTTATAATGGGCTCTGGTTTATAAAGGGCTCTGGTTTATAAAGGGCTCTGGTTTATAAAGGGCTCTGGTTTATAAGGGGCTCTGGTTTATAACGGGCTCTGGTTTATAAGGGGCTCTGGTTTATAAAGGGCTCTGGTTTATAAAGGGCTCTGGTTTATAACGGGCTCTGGTTTATAAAGGGCTTTGGTTTATAAAGGGCTCTGTTTTATAACGGGCTCTGGTTTATAAAGGAATCTGGTTTATAAAGGGCTTTGGTTTATAAAGGGCTCTGTTTTTAACGGGCTCTGGTTTATAAAGGGCTTTGGTTTATAAAGGAATCTGGTTTATAAAGGGCTTTGGTTTATAAAGGGCTCTGTTTTATAACGGGCTCTGGTTGATAACGAGCTCTGGTTTATAACGAGCTCTGGTTTATAAAGGAATCTGGTTTATAAAGGGCTTTGGTTTATAAAGGGCTCTGTTTTATAACGGGCTCTGGTTTATAAAGGGCTCTGGTTTATAAATGGCTCTGTTTTATAACGGGCTCTCGTTTATAAAGGGCTCTGGTTTATAAAGGGCTTTGGTGTATAAAGAGCTCTGGTTTATAAAGGAATCTGGTTTATAAAGGGCTTTGGTTTATAAAGGGCTCTGTTTTATAAAGGGCTCTGGTTAATAAATGGCTCTGTTTTATAACGGGCTCTGGTTTATAAATGGCTCTGTTTTATAACTCAAACCAACCAAGGGGCCCCTGGTTGCCTCTGAGGAGATTAAGAAGGTAATCTATCAGATTTGACTTTTTTTTTTCTTCTTTTTTTTTTTTAGATTTTTTATATATTCAAACAACATCTTTTTAAAATATCAGTTTGAGTCTCATTTCTAAAAGTATGCAGAACCTTCTAGTTTCACTGTAAACCCTCCAGCTCTGAACAGGTGTCTGAAATGCTTCAGCTGTAAAACTCACCGGCGGGTTCAACGGCTTCCACCAGCATGTGCTGCGTGGCGTTCAGGTGGCCGTCGTTGACATCAGGCTGAATGCCCAGAATGTGACACATCAATGGGTAGATGTTGACCGTCTCAAAGGGCCCCACCAACAGGTTCCTGCGGAAAGCCGGACCCACGGCTCTGAAAAAGGGCTTCATGTCCATCTCCTGGTTGTCGAAGCCGTGCTCTCCTTTGTTGAACTGAACCGGGAAATACTGCAAAGACAGGAGGGGGAATGATGTCAATGCAATTCAGTTTATATATATATATATATATA